TTGCCATGAATGTCATTGGTGAATTTGTGGCTTGTCTGTGGTTTTTGAATTCAGAGTTGGTCTCCTCCAAGTCTTTCTGCCGCCCAAGACTATATAGCCTCGTTTACGCTTTTATTAAAGCATAAAAGTAATCAGTTGTTCACTATCACGTAGCACTTTTTCTGAAGATCCAACAATTCGTAAAAAAAAAATAACAGTTCCTTCACACTCTGTTTTCAACCTCCAGCTAATCTCAAAAACGTCATTACGTCATCAATAGATACTTACCTTGACAACCAAGCTTAGAATACACCAGCCTCATACCTTCAAATTTAAATCTGCATGGCACTTTACTGCAATTGGCTCATTCGCTTGCTTAAACTCAAGGTTGATTCTGATTCCACAGAACTGGGTTGGGTGTGAAAAAGTATTTGTTGTTAACATTCTTTTTTCATTCGGTTTTTCCATTTACGAGTCCTTTTTTTAAAGCTGATCGTTTTGTGTTCATTTTGTTTAATTCTTTTTTCGTAACAGATTTAATGTTTAGTATAGAGCTTAGAAAAAATTCGCAATGTGAGATAGGCAAGAAGTAAGGCATGTAGCAGCATCAGCACGTCAAAGGGCACTTCTTTAAAGGCAAGGAAGGGCAAAAATATTTTAAGTCAAGTGACAGCGATTGCTGTATTTTTTAATCAAGCACGGGCAACGCCGGGCCATGCTGTTAGTACCTTCTAAAGCGGTGAAATCTCACAAAAGTTTCTGCTTTTCGGGGTGTTACTTGCAGAAGCAGGTATAGCCGTACCTACGTCTACTAACTGACACAAATGTAAGCAAAATCTATGTTTACCTATGTATTAATTGTCGTCGGAGAAACGTGCTCAACGGTAAGTAAACAACACGAAGAAACCGGGGAGTGAGCGTCTTCGCAGGCATTTGATGCTATCAATACTGTCACTCCCGCATGGGTCGGGGTACATTCATAACAGATGCCGCGCTGTCATCAACAGTTGCGGTATAACTCTCTGGGCGCACTTCTCGCCCGTGGAACTCTCTTCAGTTTTCTTGCCATCTTGTTAAATAAGATATTCAAAAATGTAAATGCGACTTCAATCACCATCTTTCTTTTTTTTTTTCTGAATTCATTTCTATTATTCTGCTTTCTCCTCCCTAAAATGTTCTTTTTTTTCATTCAGTGTTCCGTTGCGTCTTAGTGGCATTATCGCCTTGTTTAGGGTGGAATGATTAAAAAAAAATAAAGAAAAAAATAATTCTACCATCAGTCAGTCTGACAAGTTTAGCTTTATTGCTTCAACTCAGAAATTTCAAGGTTTATATATGGTCTCTCGAGACAGACTGATGCTACAACACAAGTCTGGCTCCATTAATGGATTTCTCAGCAGCCTTCTGCTGGAAATTATTTGCGTTATCTCCTGTTTCATTTTCATCTCTGCTGAGATTATCCCGCATTCATTGCAAGAGGATGCCTATCACATAGCAATTCAGCTCGATTTTATTTGTTTTCTAACGAATTTTTTTTTGTTGTTTCCTATTACTTTGCCTAACTTCTGGAAGGCATATTTCGCTATGTGAGTTCTTCGGATTTCGGTGGCACTTTCTCCTTCCTCTGTTAAAACACTTCCCAGATATTTAAACTTTTTCACTTGTTTCTTGTTGACATCTCCAGTTCGTAAATCGCATCTTGTTTTTGTTTTTTTTTTCTCTCCTTCTCTCTTGCTGACGACAAATTGATGATAAGCAGAAGAACAAAAACGAACAATAGTTTGCATTTAAATATTATAAAAAAAAACTTTATTTTTTTACGAAATTTACCACAACTCATTTACATATGATGGAGTATATAGTTATCTAGGTACTAACCAGGTTCGACTTCGCTTAACTTTGGTGATCGTACGGGAAGCGGAGCTTCAAAGTGATGTAGCCGTAAGCCATATGTCCGCTTTCAGCATTTTCTTTTAGCAGATAGGATTTTAACCATGCAGTGTATATTGTATCAGTAATAAGAGTAAAATCGTACTCTTGAACGCACAATAGTTTAAACACATGACAAAAGATTCAAACTGTTGACCCCTGTTTCATTTTCACCCATTCCTTCATGTAAATAGCTGCAGGACAAATCCCTTGAGAATTCCATCTTCTGCGTTCTTCCTATTCTTCTTGTAATAAATTCAGGTGAGACAATTCAGAGCATTCTTATTTTAAAGGACTCGATTCACCTGAAGTCAGCACCTTCTAATTCGGTCAACCAGGCCATATACAATCACCTTCAGTTAAATAAAGGCGCGAACAATAGCAGCAACTATCGACTTGTCCTTAGAAGAATCCGTGATTATGTTGTGAGAGGGTGCTGAAAAGATCTCGGTTCGACAAAGAGGCTCTTCCCCGCAAAACCTGATGTTTGGCAATTTGATTTCATCAGATTCGGAAATGGCGTGCACTTTACTGATGTCAATTGAAATATCTTTTCTTTCGATTATTGAATATATGTGTGACTTTTTCTGAGCGCTTGCAGACGACTTAGAAAAAATCTTATTTGTGTATGACTTTAAGAAGCGTCGTCCTCAGTGAAAAAAAATGATGCCAGTGAAGTCTTAAAATAAATTCCTTCATCGGATTTTCATCATTCTTTAATAAGAATCTTTACAAGTGAAAATAACAATAAACCGATTGCTTTCCCAAACCAAACTCTTCAGAACTGCTTTGCAATCATCATTTGTTTCAGAACTAATGTGCATCGAGAGATATTGTGATATAACATATATATATATATATATATATATATATATATATATATATATATATATATATGTGTGTGTGTGTGTGTGTGTGTGTGCAAATATATGGAAAAATAGGAAAGAACGCGTTAGGGTTTATAATCCAAAGTTCTTTAGTATATTTGTTTTAATTAAAAAAAAAACAGTGCTTAATACATAAGTAGAGCCTAAATTATAATATTATATATATACATATATATATATATGTGTGTGTGTGTGTGCGTAGATAGATAGATAGATAGATAGATAGATAGATATTACGTATAGATCGTTGTATTTCGAGTTATATTAGGAACAATGCTTCCAATTCAAATCTCAGGAAAGAGGATCTATAAAACCTGAAATATTTTTAAATTTTTATTCGCTGTTGCTTTTTTTGTGGACAATATTTTAGGGGAAATTGAAACAAGATGGAGATTTATACTTCGAACCAGATAGCCAGTGAGAAAATCAGTAGGGCACATAATTAGGAAAGAAGGCATGACAATTTAAAACTCACAGGATGTATTGAAGGCAATCGGAAATCAGAGAATAACCTACATAACAGGCTTGTGTAAATGGATGGTAGAACTGGGATTAATAGAAATAGCAAAAATAGAAACCTCACTAATAGCTAAAAGAAGAAGAAGAAGAAGACTAAGAAGAAGACGGGGAAGGTAGAGGATGGGGAAGAAGAAGAAGAAGAAGAAGAAGAAGAAGAAAAAGACGAAGGAGAAGAAGAAAACTGAGAAGGAGGAGGATGTGGAAGAAGAAGAAGACTGAGAAGAAGACTGAGAAGGAGAAGGATGTGGAAGAAGAAGAAGACTAAGAAGGAGGAGGAAGTGGGAGAAGAAGAAGAAGACTAAGAAGGAGGAGGATGTGGAAGAAGAAGAAGACTGAGAAGAAGACTGAGAAGGAAGATGATGTGGAAGAAGAAGAAGAAGACTGAGAAGGAGGAGGATGTGGAAGAAGAAGAAGAAGAAGACTAAGAAGGAGGAGGAGGTGGAAGAAGAAGAAGACTGAGAAGAAGACTGAGAAGGAAGATGATGTGGAAGAAGGAGAAGAAGAAGAAGAACAAGAAGAACAAGAAGAAGAACAAGAACAAGAAGAAGAAGAAGAACAAGAAGAAGAAGAAGAAGTCTAAGAAGGAGGAGGATGTGGAAGAAGAATAAGACTGAGAAGAAGACTGAGAAGGAGGAGGATGTGGAAGAAGAAGGAGAAGAAGAAGAAGGAGAAGAAGAAGAAGACTAAGAAGGAGGAGGATGTGGAAGAAGTAGAAGACTGAGAAGAAGATTGAGAAGGAGGAGGATGTGTAAGAAGAAGAAGAAGGAGAAGAAGAAGAAGACTAAGAAGGAGGAGGATGTGGAAGATGAAGAAGACTGAGAAGAAGATTGAGAAGGAGGAGGATGTGGAAGAAGAAGAAGAAGAAGACAAAGAAGAAGAAGAAAACTGAGAAGGAGGAGGATGTGAAAGGAGAAGAAGACTGAGAAGAAGACTGAGAAGGAAGATGATGTGGAAGAAGAAGAAGAAAACTGAGCAGGAGGAGGATGTGGAAGAAGAAGAAGACAGAGAAGAAGACTGAGAAGGAGAAGGATGTGGAAGAAGAAGAAGAAGAAGAAGAAGACTAAGAAGGAGGAGGATGTGGAAGAAGAAGAAGACTGAGAAGAAGACTGAGAAGGAGAAGGATGTGGAAGAAGAAGAAGAAGACTAAGAAGGAGGATGATGTGGAAGAAGAAAAAGAAGACGAAGAAGAAGAAGGAGAAGAAGAAGAAGGCTAAGAAGGAGTAGGATGTGGAAGAAGAAAAAGAAGACGAAGAAGAAGAAGAAGAAGAAGGAGAAGAAGAAGAAGGCTAAGAAAGAGTAGGATGTGGAAGAAGAAGAAGACTGAGAAGAAGACTGAGAAGAAGACTGAGAAGGAGGAGGATGTGGAAGAAGAAGGAGAAGAAGAAGAAGACTGAGAAGGAGGAGGATGTGGAAGAAGAAGAAGAAGAAGAAGGAGAAGAAGACTAAGAAGGAGGAGGATGTGGAAGATGAAGAAGACCGAGAAGAAGATTGAGAAGGAGGAGGATGTGTAAGAAGAACAAGAAGGAGAAGAAGAAGAAGACTAAGAAGAAGACAAAGAAGAAGAAGAAAACTGAGGAGGATGTGGAAGAAGAAGAAGACTAAGAAGGAGGAGGATGTGGAAGAAGAAGAAGAAGACTGAGAAGGAGGAGGATGTGGAAGAAAAAGAAGACTGAGAAGAAGACTGAGAAGGAAGATGATGTGGAAGAGGAAGAAGAAGAAGAAGACTGAGAAGTAGGAGGATGTGGAAGAAGGAGAAGACTGAGAAGAAGACTGAGAAGGAGGAGGATGTAGAAGAAGAAGAAGAAGACTAAGGAGGAGGAGGATGTGGAAGAAAAAGATGAAGAAGACTAAGAAGGAGGAGGATGTGGAAGAAGAAGAAGACTGAGAATGACGAGGATGTGGAAGAAGAAAAAGAAGACGAAGAAGAAGAAGAAGGAGAAGAAGAATAAGGCTAAGAAGGAGGAGCATGTGGAAGAAGAAGAAGACTGAGAAGAAGACTGAGAAGGAGGAGGATGTGGAAGAAGAAGAAGACTGAGAAGAAGACTGAGAATGAGGAGGATGTGGAAGAAGATGAAGAAGAAGAAGAAGAAGACTAAGAAGGAGGAGGATGTGGAAGAAGAAGAAGACTGAGAAGAAGACTGAGAATGAGGGGGATGTGGAAGAAGAAGAAGACTGAGAATGAGGAGGATGTGGAAGAAGAAGAAGAAGACTAAGGAGGAGGAGGATGTGGAAGAAGAAGAAGACTGAGAAGAAGACTGAGAAGGAGGAGGATGTGGAAGAAGAAGAAGAAGAAGAAGAAGAAGACTAAGAACGAGGAGGATGTGGAAGAAAAAGAAGACTGAGAAGAAGACTGAGAAGGAGGAGGATGTGGAAGAAGAAGAAGACTGAGAAGAAGACTGAGAAGGAGTAGGATGTGGAAGAAGAAGAAAAAAAAAGAAGATGAAGAAGAAGACTGAGAAGAAGACGGAGAAGGAGGAGGACGTGGAAGAAGAAGAAGAAGAAGGAGGAGGAGGACGAGGAAGATGAAAACGGAGGAGGATGTGGAAGAAGAAGACGGAGGAGGAGGATGTGGAAGAGGAAAAGAAGAAGAAGAAGAAGAAGAAGAAGAAGAAGAATGTGAACCACCAATAACTAACGTTACTTCAGACACTTCTATTTTTTGTTTTAATGTTGATTCGTTGCGGCAAGTTAAAGGAGTAAGGAATTTAGATGCTGTCAAAATAATTTAAGCTAAAGGAATGCATTAATTGCTTTAACTAATCTAAATCGCTTTCGCTCTCTCGCTCTCTCTCTCACTCTCTCACATACATACATACATACATATATACGCACACATAGATACATATATCTATATAAACTCACCGTAGAGTAATGGATAACGGATCGAATTGAAGAATCGGAGAGCCAAGTTCGAAATCCAGTCGAGTTCATTACATTGATTTACGTGCTAATACCCTCGGGAAAGGCATGGATCCATCTCTTCAAGCTGAGGGAAAATAACAGGACAGACTGGGTCCTATAGCCTTGGGTGGCGAACGGTCTAGCAGAAGGAAAACTTTGAATCCCAAACCATCGGAGGGTCGTTTAGTGACTTTGTTGCAAATGGGCACCAGTTCTCTGCATTCGGCTCTGCCACCATTTTTGGAAGTATGGTTGCTTCTGTACAGACCTTGAATACAAGAATCAAATGTAATGTGTGGGTAGCCTGGCTATTAATTCTAAGAAGTGAACCGCTTGAAGAAATGTGTGTATTGCCGTTTGACCTGGGTCTTCATATGCACCGGACTTTCTTTTCCTCGCCTCGCAGCCTTGGATCTTTTGATTGTAATCTGGTCCTCTGTTGGCGGATATTTCTTTTTGCGATGCTTACTGCTGCCGTATGCGATAGGCAATAATAAACTACAGAAGAACTCAAAATTGATCACTGCATTTAAGAATTGCATAAATATTTAAGCTTACCTTTTAGAAGTTCAACGATATTTCATCTGCTGCCGCTTAAATTAAGAAATAAGGACCTACTTACATCAAACTCTTTTTGAGTTTGATGTAAGTAGGTCCTTACTTTCCGCACTTTCTGTTGAGTACGTCGCTGAATGGTTAGAATGTTCGCTTTCTGACTACGACACCCGTGTTCGAATCTCACCATAGTCGATTTAGCAGGTAGGTGACTTCTTGATGTTATTTGTCTGGAGGAGGCGATCCTAGCGTGCGGTATATTTGGGAAATGACTGAAAAACATGCCACGAGTGAAATCATCGGCGGTTGTGCTAGCACGAAGTCACAAGTCATCGTGACCGAGGGTTTCATCATGCTAGACTTGTTCAGACATTTAACGCGCTCTCTCCCTGAAAATGTTACTAAGGTCCGTTCAGCATAGTTGCAGTATAAACCACAGGTTGACTATATGGGTGTTGAACAAAAATAAATGTGCCTGAGCAGATGTCTACTATGGGGATTGGTTAGCCGCACTATTAGACAGGTATCCTAGTGCCTGCGCCATTTACTTTCCGTAAAACAATTATTCTAACTTCATGGGTGACTTTCGCTGGATTTCGCAATTCATTTCGATTCTTCCCAAATTGATTTCCAAGTGATGAAAATTGTTATCGTACAAATACTTAATCGGAAAAATCACTTAAAATCACCGAACACAATCGCAGTAATGAATATGTGTGTGCCTCAATAA